CCCTCAATCTTGCTAGAAAATATCGACTGTTCGAGTTATTGGTTAATCTAACTCTTGGTGGGGTCAAAGGATCCAGATTTATCGATGGTTCCAAAATATCGTTCTTAATGAAGTTAATATGAGAATGTAAAGCATTATTAGGTCTGCAAGTTTCGATGGACTGCTTGTCTGTGACTATTTTTGTGTTGTTCAGTTTACTTTTGTTTTTGCTTAAAATGGTAATTGGATTTTCCAAGCTAACGGTACTTCTGATGTTCTTTAAACTCATATGTAACTCAGATGAAGACGTTGGTTTGGAATATGAAGATTTTATAGACCATTTAATGTTTACAACAGGTGGCCGAATTTCCTTATTAAATGAAAAGTCAATGAAGAAATGTGAAGGAATGCGGAACCACTCGCTATGTGGGGAGGGCATATGAGGCCCCTAGAAGTCAAGGGGTCTAAGTAACAAAATCAACATTTTGAGAAAACTCAAGTCAAAATCGGAAGATTATTGTAAGAGGGAAATTTAAAACTGCATTATTTTGACCATGTAAGAAGGATAATAAGGTCTTTGGGTTGTTATTGCTAATAGCAGAAAGTATTACAATATTCGGTTATTGTTTTATGTATAAAAAAAATTGAAGGTGTGCACATGGATCCCTTTACCTCTCATTAATTTTGTGAGAATAAAAATGCTCAATGTGCACAAAATACACAAGTGGTTTTATTATTATTTACAAAAACTATTTTGTATGTTATTTTTACATGATAGTATTAAATCAGAAAATATTAGATGTTGGCACTTCAAAACTATCTAATTGCTGTCATTTGTGTCATAAACGTTGTTACCAAAGTGATTATCATCATTTTCATTGCCTACAAAAGTACCTGTAGCTAAAGGCTTTCCAGTCATTTGTTTCATGAGGTAGGCTTGGGTAAAATTCATGGTATATCGGTGAAAAGAATTGCAAGAGTTTCATGAGATCTTCATACTTTTTGTATTTAAGCTTGGGCTTCTTAATTACCGGTTGAAACATGAGAAGCTGATAGGGAATTATACCTGCTCGTTGTTTCTTCATTGACAATTTTTCGTAAGGCATAATGCCCTCTGCTAATGTTGTCTTATAAAAAAGAGTGTCTGGGTTTGCCTTTTCATAATGCAGTATCTGCATTCCTCGTATCCCTGGCACATTTTTCTGGAAGTACTGATTTAGTAATTGAAGATCAATAAAGTCTGCATCCATTTACTTGCTGAGGCAGCCCGATTTATCCAGTCTTCTGGTACACAGATATGACGTTGGTTCTTCTTCTTTTTAATTTCTATGATTCCAAAATCTCGATCACATTGATTGTAAGAATGTCCAGCGACTAAAAAGTGGTGATTAACAGTTTCAATTTGAGTATTCTTAACAATATAAAGCCAAAAATCTGACAATTAGGTGACTTTTGTTTTACCCTCCACAGTTGTCACTGAACGCAGACATATGTTACACAGTCGGTCTGTCTCCTGGCAGGCCCTACCTGCCTGTCCTTCGTGACACATGTACATGTGGACGGTTTCACTTGTTAGGTTGTGAATATTCAAATTGTACGTCCAGAGTTGGCGCAAATAGTAGGCCTTTGAATTTGTCAAATAAGATGTCGGCATCATCTTTTGCAAATCAAAGCATATCGCAACTTGACTGTCATTCTTTAATAATTTGCACTTTCTTTTACTTTTTAGCTTCTTTAGCTGCCTCTGCCTTCCTTAAATGAAGTTCTTTTTCAACGTCAGCTGTTTGCTTCGCACCAGGCGTGCCGTGGATAATTTTCATTTGTAACTTGTCACCAGTGACACAGGTGTTGTCATATCAGTAGGTTATGATTACGGTCACGGGGCTCTAGGCACAATGTATGGAGACTCGTTGTCAGTTGTCACTACTGGTCAGGATTGTTAGATCATAGGTTTTTGGACATTGTTGATTCCTAGAGACTTTGTTAATAAGTATGTTTAAATAAATATATTAACAGCAATGAAATATTATTACTTGGCGCAGTCAGTAGAAAAGAAGTAATTATGTCAAGTAGTGTGCTTGCCAATTTCAATGAGAAGTTACCAACTGTGATACAGACTGACAGTAGTAGTAATGGCTTAGGGTGCTGTCTCTTACAGAATAACAGACCAGTAGCATTTGCATCTAGGGCACTAACGACAGCAGAGTCAAATATGAGTCAAATTGAAAAGGAGTTCTTGGCAATCCTATATGCATGCAATAAATTTCACAATTTTATCTATGGAAGAAAAGTGCAAATTGATTCTGAACATAAGCCTTTGGAGGCATTAATGCATAAAGGCGTTGCAGACATAATGTCGATTATCTAAATATGACATAGAGGTAAAATTTAAGCCAGGCAAGTTCATGCATGTGGCAGATTTATTATCAAGGAATTTTATAAAAGATGAAGTGGATGATGATAAATTTATTACAGAAATAGTTCATACTATTGACATGACTGATGAGAAGAGAGAGCAATTTAGGACTGAAGTGGATGCTGATGAGGATCTGAAACTAGTAAAGAAATATTGTATACAAGGGTGGCCTAAAACCCTGTCAAGAGTAAGCAATTCAATTAGGTATTATTATTATATAAGAAATGAATTATATTTACTTGACGGACTAATATTTTACAAAGACAGAGTTTGTAGTCCCAAAAATATTGAGAGGGAGCATGCTAAGATTATTGCATTCTAGTCATTTTGGCATTCAGAAAACCCAACAGAGAGCAAGACAGATATTACATTGGCCACAAATGAACAAAAGTATAGAAGACTGGGTAAGAAATTGTAGCAAGTGTGAGATATTTAAAAGTCACAATGCTAAAGAGCCACTATTACTTACGGTCCGTCCCAAACCCTTTTTTCAGTGCGTCATAGTTGTTCGAATTCTCTCTAACGCATTAAGCTAGAAGTGACAGAAAAAGACGTGAGTCTGTGATTATTATACATAGAACATAGAAAATTATGTATCTTTCACGAGTATTTGCATATTAAAGCGAATTCTACTTACGGATGTTTAATTGGTTGGAGTTTAGCATACGCTAAATAGATATCCAATCAATGATGCGCATAAATATAATTTGACGCAGATTATCTTGATCATGACAATACTTTCACAATGTCAACTGATAAAATGATAATTGTCATTCCAGGTTAGTATTTTCAGACACTTTACAGTGAAAATTTAATTTTGTATTTATTGTCATAAAAATATTTTAAATATGCCGAGATATACCGAGAAAGAACAAAGACTACATACCTATTTAACAAAATAACCTTTTCACATTTAGTCGATTGTGATCCTGCAACTGTCAGATTTAACTAAAATGTCAAGCAATAATTTTCGACATTCTTAAAATCCTATATGACGTCACATTTAGTGACGCACTGAAAAAAGGGTTTGGGACGGACCGTAGAGAGTTGCCTCAAGCACCTTTTGAAAAGGTAGCAAGTGATATATTAGATTATGGTGGACAGTCGTATCTAGTTCTGATCGATTATTTTTCTAAATGGCTCGATATAGTGAAAATTAATTCAAAAACTTCTCAGGTGGTCATCAAGGAGTTAAAGAAAATTTTTTCAACACACGGAATACCTTACGAAGTCATATCAGATAACATGCCTTATAATTCGTGGCATTGTCAGCAATTTGCTAAAGACTGGGATTTTCGGTTTGTAACGTCCAGTCCCCGCTATCCACGGTCTAATGGGCAGGCAGAACGAGCCGTTCAAATTGCAAAAAAACATGCTTAGAAAGTGTGACGACTTAGATATGGCACTCCTGGAGTATCGCAATACTCCAATAAATGGAACAGATAAAACTCCTCATCTGGGAATCAGAGTTGTGGAGTAGAGGAACCTTCAACCTCCCAAATGAATGCTGAAAATAGAACTAGCGCTAGACTCAAAAGGGCTCCAGTGCGTTTTAATGATTATCAAATGTAAGGGGAAAGATGTCATATCAGTAGGTTATGATTACGGTCACGGGGCTCTAGGCACAATGTATGGAGACTCGTTGTCAGTTGTCACTACTGGTCAGGATTGTTAGATCATAGGTTTTTGGACATTGTTGATTCCTAGAGACTTTGTTAATAAGTATGTTTAAATAAATATATTAACAGCAATGAAATATTATTACTGGTGTCGGTGTGAAGTCTGTGGAATCTTAGATTGAATTTTGTTTTGAATATAAATCTGTAAAGACTTTTTTTTTCAAGTTCCACATTTGTTTCTCCTCTACAAAATTTTTCGTACAGTTTTCACATAATTGACACATTCAAGCCTGGGTTTAGTTATCTTTGAGTTACTCACTCTGTGACCAGCCAAGTTATAGTTACATTATCTTTCTTCCTCTTGACAGGCTGCAATTCTAAGGCACCATTTAAAAACGATGTCTGAAGCTCCCACTTACCTAGCTCCCACTATTTATAAAATATTGATTCCCTCTGTTCGTAAGGAATCTTTTCGTTGCAATGAAACCTACACCGTTGATTATATTCACGTAACTTTTTTGACCCGTGTCTTAGCCTTTTTTTCTTGTTGTCCTTGTAAAATAACTTATATTGTTTAATTTACAAAAAAATATGATCAAAATTGTTCTTAATAACACTTATGTCAACTACAACTAAACTGTGATGGTTTATGGATTCGTGGTAAAGGGATCTAAGTGTTTTTGGGCCCCTAGCGTTCTAAGTTTGAACTTATCAATACTCAGTGGTTAAGGGGTACCACGCTAGATGTCAGCACCTATCAAAACAATCACTTGGATCTATTCACCACCAAATAGATTAGTATTTTCACAACTCATTCATGCACCTAACTCATTTTTTTCAAAAATGTTACTTAGACCCCTTGTCCTCTAAGGTCCTTATATCATCTTGAAGGAGGGCATAACATCTAATATATTTCTTGATACCCAACTTCTCTTTCATATAGCGAACAGCTTGTAAACAAAAAGTAACAAATAAAACCCCAAAATAAGTAAATAATATAAATTTATTTTCAACATAAATAGGTCTAATCTTATCATATTTTTTACAATACAAAAAACATACATTTTTATATCACAGCCTCTTTTAGCACACAGAAATGTATAAAAAAATATATAACCTACAACACAGAGAAGCATTCAACTTTTTCTATCAATAACTCGAATTCAAAAATAATTTAAAAACAATAATCCAAATTTTGACTACCAGATCTACCCATTCCTTTATTTATTACCGTAAAAACTCAAATTCTTCTCTCGTAGGCTCAAAATATAAACTGAATGAACACAACATGTATAAAAATCAAATTTTCCAAAAAACAACTTGACAAATACAAATCAGGGTGAATAAACCCAACAAATTGACAAATTTTCTTATAAAACAATGGCAACGTGCCACCCAAAAGGAATTTTCAAACATCCTTTATACAAATACAAATAGAAAAGACGAAAACTTTCTTTAAATAAAAGTTTTTATCTAATTTAAAGAGATCAGATATTGCAAAAATATTAAATGATCCCGAGAATGCATTTATAATATATAAATATGCTTTCCTAGCATCAAACAGATTTATCAATAATCGTTTTACTGGATATTTTTCTACAATATTCAGTATTACAGAATTGTGCCAAAAAAAAGGTCGCCAAAAATGTCATCTAGTTTAAAATGCTACCACAATTCAGTAGAAACGTAATTCCGGATATATTTTTATCATTTTTTGATAATTTCAAAGTATTTTCTTATTATTTTATGTATCAATAAGATTAATTTTTTCTTGTTAAGTTCTTGAAATTAAGTCATTTTTTTTATCTATTTTATATGTTATAAAAACATTCTCAAATTCTCTTGTATACTATTAAATTTATAGTACAAACATCTCATATTGTACAAATGTAAAATTTAAGATTGAATACTTTTGATATAGTTTACATCTCTTGCGTTTTTCTAATAATAATTGTTGAACAATTGGTCTTAAATGTATATGTAAACAGCGAATAAAACTTTGCAGTTGGCACTTGGTGCCTAAAAATCTAGTGTACCATACAAAAACACCTACAACGATTCGTTGTTACAATAAATAAACAAAACAGTTTTTGCACGGTCGTAATCCTTGATAACGGTATTTAAACTACACAACTATTATTCACAGTAACAGAGATGCAACTTTTCTAGATATCTAAATACAAAAACGCACCAAAAAGGAGTTTCAAGCGCATCTCTGTTTTAAAGAGAAAATTCAGGAGACCGAAATCCTCCATTATTTAGAGTTACAAACTTTCTATCAAAAATTTCTGCCAATTTTAGTGTCAGTTCCGTATTCTCCAGTGTACACTGGTAAATATCAGTCGAATTGTCTCCTTTATTTTCATAATACAAAAAAGTCATAGACTATTTTAATTTAATCAATGAAATGATGTCACAAATTCTCATTTAGTTCTACAAAAATAAATAAACACTGAATTTTGTAACAAAAGCAAAACCTTTTTGATAATTTTTATCTTACTTTTACTCAAATCATACTCAAACATTATTTTATCTATAATTAATTTCATCTATAATTACTTTGAAAGATAGTTAGGTATGATGTCTATGTTGCTGTATACATAATTTCATGATTAAAATAAAATATGTCTAAATTGGGCGCCATTTTAAGTCAGTAAAACGTCCATTTTGTGATCAAAATTCCATTCTATCTAATTTTTTAGCCCAAACGGCGCTCTTTTACATACAAAAACCTAAAAAAAATACCACATTTCGCATATGCGCTATCACCAAAGTTCATTCTTCTTACATACTATAATATCAGAGCTCCTTATAAAACTAAGAAGCCACCAAAGTCTTCAAGCCTCAGAAAAAAAAATTAACGAGATTCTAGCTCTTCGTTAGCGGTGGGTCATAGGGACACCGTCGCCGTGAAGTTCTGCCTCCTTCTGAGTATTCGTGCCTTATAAAGGTCTGATTTGTGGCAGACGACGACGGTTCCTCCCTGGTTGGCGACTGGTGCCTTGTTGCAATTGCCGATTAGGGTTCCAAGCATTTTCGTAACGGAGAACTTTCTCGTTTTCTGAGTCCTCAGTGCTGAGCGACACTCGTTTAGAATCGTGTCGAATGCTGAATAGATTTCCGCTGAGTTTTCCGCGACTGATACTTCGTAGAATTGACAGTTGCTTTGGATCGCTAACGTGCGACCCTCCACTTCCTCGACCTGTAACAAAGAAAAGAAACTTTTAATATATAATAAAGTAGTGGATAAGACGATAAATTTCTCTGGACGATATATTATTCATTTGCTTATTGACGTATTTGTCATATGTCGCCATGTTACCTTATCCAACGGTAACTTCAACATCATAACATATTATAAGAAATATCGTATACCAAATGTAATTAATTATTTGTTAACGGGTTTTTACCCATATATTTAGTGGCTACATTCATGTACTCCTAGACTCTGATGATGGAATATGGATTCCGAAAACGTTTTGTATGTTTAACTTAGCCCGTTACGGTTTTTAAATATATACCTTTTATAAAGGTTTTTTAATAAAATTTTTTTTAATATATGGTATACAGCCAACTACAGGAACGTAGATTCCTTGTGGATTTTCAGATAGAAGTTGCAACGTTTTGTCAATTTACGAAACTTCAGGAAAGAAGTTCTTTATCAACTCAGTGGACGAGATCGGTAAACACACATCAAAGTTTCAATTTCAAGTGAAGTAGTCATAATTAGGTTTTGCTGCAAAAAACATGTAGGTATTTACAGATTAAGCAAACAGTTTCTAGAATATATAAAGAGGGAAGAGTTAAAATCCCATGATTTAAGAAATAGCTTTTGCGATATGTTATTCTACTGAGGCCAAAAACATACTGTATTGCTCTTTTTAGTAATTTAAAAATAACATTAGATTAGGCAGCTCTATTAGAACCCCAAAAAGGAAGGCCATATCGAAGATGAGACTCGAACAAAGAAAAATATGTTATTTTGGAAGATGCTAAATTGAATTCTGCTATAGCAGGCTGAGGCTAGTTTCTTACTTAACAAATCAATATGAATTGACCATTTAAGGTTACTGTCTATAAAAATACCAAGAAATTTTACAGAATCAACGATACTGATCTGGCTGTTATTAAGAAGCAAGGGTTGAAGAGCTGCGTGTAGGATAATGCTACTGTCTTATCCACGTTAAAAGAGAGTAAATTAGAGTCGGACCAGGTTTTTATCTTAAGTAGAGTAGAAGTTATAATTGCATGAAGAGTTGCAATATTAATACTGGTATCATCAGCAGAAAAAAAAAGTTTTTCATTGCTTTTTAAATTAGTGATGTCATTTATAAAGATAAGGAAATTTAGAGAACCCAGTATTGAACCTTGTGGTACTCCACATACAATACTTTTGTGACTATAGTCAGTATCATTTGCTTTAACTAATAATTGTTTCCTATTCCTCAAGTAAGATTAGAACCAATTCAAAGAAATACCTCGAATTCCGTAGAACTTTAGTTTTTTATCAAAATATTGTTATTTACACAATCAAAAGCTTTGGCATAGTCACAAAAAACAGTTGCAGAGATTTGCAACTGCTGCAACTGCAAACTGTTTGCAACACCATGAGATTTGCAGATGACACTATAATTATGGCTGAGAGTATAGAAGAACTACAAACTTTACTAGATGCAATAAGGCCAAATAGATAAGACAATAAGATAAGACCAAATTTATGATAGTATCAAATATATGAGAGTGACAAAATATAAATATCTGGGAGCTTAGATAAACACAGAATTAGATCCAGAACAATAGATCGGGGTACGAATAGAAATGGCAAGGGCAGCGTTCTTAAAATTCAAGCAATTATTTTGTGACAAAAATCTGAATACTGTACTGACACTGAGGTTTGTTGAATGCTACGTCTGGTCCCAACCATTGTACAAGGTAGAAACATGGACGTTAAAAGCGTAAATAGTAAAGAAGCTTGAAGCCTTTGAACTTTGGATATACTGGAGAATGTTGAGAATTCCATGGACTGCCAGGGTCATCAATGAGGAAGTGCTGGGAAGTATGGGTCGAGACAAAAAATTGTTGAGAGCAATAAAAGTACGCAAGACTGCATGCCTTGGACACATACTGAGGAATGATAAATATAGTCTTCTGCAGGTCATCATGCAGGGTAAAGTCGAGGGCAAAAAGGGAATAGGTAGAAAGAGGAAGTCATGACTGCGAAATATTCAAGACTGGACAAACATGACTATAGACGAATTATTCCACGTTGCAAAAGACAGATAAACTTTTAGAAATGTGGTCGTCAACCTCCGTTAATGGGGACGGCATAGGAAGAAGAAGATGGTAGATGTTGTTTTAGTTATTCTTGTGGAAGAATTAACGTACTTTGTGAAACTATACGAATTCGAATATATTGAACAAGGATATTTGGGTAGCACAAGCAACAGCGTAATTAATATTCAAGTTACGGAGAAAAACTTTGTGTTTTTACTTAACTATCTCTTTTCGATGTACTGAGTCTGGAGAGTTCTTTAAAATAACATGTGTTTTTACTGAATAACAAGCGGTACATGGTTTGTTTTGAGTTTCATGTGTGGAAGGTAATGATGCTAGATAAGAAGTATGTGTTTTATCTTGCCAGGTATTTACGATGCACGGGTAAAGGACCATGGACTCAATTGTAATTATTATTATTTAGAAACAATTAAAAAGTAATGGTACTATATAAATCATTGGAGAGTTTTTAAGTAGTAAGATTGAGAGAAAAGTATAGATTTCATAATATTTCCTATCGATTTAAATTTGTTTCGATCGGTTCTTGGCTACCTATTGAGCAATTCAGAATTCCTGGTGGAATTCCAAGCACCCGAATAATTTTAAATACCTGCAATAAGACAAGACACGGTCCGCAGATACGACCGAGGCACACCCGACTGTAAATTTCGTAATGTTTTTATTGCCAAACAGACCAGACCTATTTTCAGCTATGCGCAGCGAACCAGTCTCGACTAATTTTATCTTTTCCCGCCAATTTATTATCTCCGTCGTCATTTTACTCTATTTTGTAATGATATTATTGCCCTAAACAAAATATTGATGTTCGATTCACTGTTTGATTTCACTTTGGTATGTTAACGGTTCCTAAGAAGATTTAGGACAAAGAGTTGGGCTATTTTTATCGCATTCCTAGAAAGTTGCAACTTCCGACTTAATGCAATGGGGTGTCTTCATAAAATCTTGCCCAGTATATAAAAAAAGAGATTCTAATAGAAGATATAATAAAATAAATTTAACGGTTAAGGAATGTTAAGATAAACAGTATATTTGTATCAACTTTAAAAAACGAGTAATCCTAACAAAATATCTTTTAATTATACCGATAAATTCCTGTTTGAATATAATCAAAGCATGAATGAATTTTTGTTCCAAACGATTTATTTATATCGAATTTTCAATGTCAAATATCGTTAGACCCATTAGCCAAAAGAAAAAGCGTGTGAAGGTTCCAGCATTGACAGTTTATTGTTTGGTATGAATATCAAAAGAAAAAATACAGATCAACAAACTTTGTTTCATTGATTTTTGTTTTTACAACATGTCAATCAATCCCGTAGAGATAATCGGTTTTAATTGTTAAATGTTTATGAGTTTTGGACATTAATGTGTAGCTTCAAGAGGACTGGAAATGGTTATCTAGAGCTAAAATATAGAGCTGAGAATCTATATGTGAAGATACTGTGCTATAACTACAGAACTCCCTAGACAATTTGGCTTCTACGAAGATCAATATTTAGTTTATTTCTTTAGTATTAATGTGCTTTTTCTTTCTTCATTATTATAATCTTAATCTTAGGCAATAACAAAAATGATAAGAAGCGATGACCTGATTAATTTCGATTATGTAAATTTTGTATTCTTCTTCTTCGCGTGTCATATCAGAATTATCCGATCGACATTGCGAAGGCTTTACGAAGTTCTGCATTATAGAATAATTGTCCTGCATTTGATATTATAGTCCATTCATGAATGTTTTTAACCAAGAAACTTGTTTTCTTTCTACACCTCCACGGCCCTCTATTTTGCCTTTAAGGATCAGTTGTAATATTTTATATCGACTTCCCCTTAATATATGTCCCAGATAAGACATTTTTCAATGTTTAACAGTCTTTAGCAGTTCTCTATCTTTGTTGACGCTCCTTAATACTTCTTCATTAGTTTTCCTTGCTGTCCAAGGTATCTTCAGCATTCGTCTATGAACCCACATTTCAAATGCTTCAATTTTGATCATGATCAATACTTTTAACGTCCATACTTCTGCACTATACAAAAGTGCGGACCAACCATAGCACTTAACTATTTTTTTCTTAGTTCTAAACTGAGATAGTTATTGCAAAGAGAAGACTTCATTTTCATAAAAGTAGTTTTAGTCATTGCTATTCTACGATTTATTTATATGTCTGGATCTAGTTGGTCCGTTATCACAGTTCCCAAATATGTTATTTTGTGAACTTTCTTAACTTGGATTTCGTTTAATTGATGCTTTGCATCGTGATGTGGGTCACGACTACTGTATCGTCTGCATATCTAATCACATTAAGTAGTTCATTGTATTGGTTTTTTTTACTAAGCACAGTACATTGGTTTTTGGTTTTTGTCGCTGAATTCGTTTTAACCTTAGTTTAATATCGGCTACAAGTGGTTAATAATCCACTTCAAATTTTGTATAGACTTTTAAATTCCAAACTTCCCAACAACTACCAAATGAAAGTTTCTATTATAAACTGCCAATATGTGTTCAAAATTGTATGTTTACAAATGCAAACTTCCCGTTACTATACGAAATAATTTCACAGTGGTCGTCCTAGATTGATGTACATAATTTACGAGTAAAAAAACAAATATACTCATACAGTTTTTAGCCGAGTTTATCAATATTTTGAATAATCTTTTTCGATCTTCATTACAGCACAAGAAAATCAGATTAAATACTCAATTTGCCACAATCCAAACAAATTTCACGATGAAATATTTCAATACGTTAACCCAATTTTTGGATCCCAGTCTGGCGATTGTTTGGAAAATATGGTCCATATATCATGAGAATGGAAATGACACACTTTTAGATGATCGGAGCGGTCTAGTTTTTTAGATAAACACCATTCTAGTCTTCAATATTACAAATTTATACGCTGTGTAGCCGTGGCGCATCCACCAAACTTTTAACTCGGTAGCATTCGCCAAAATTTTAATAAAAGCGTTGACAATTTTCCAAGTGTTTTCATTGAAAAATAGTAATAAATGGTAGCTTATCTGTGCTATTTTAATTAATATGTGTATCTGTCTCTTGCAAAAGTAGGTAAAGTTCAATACTATATGACGAAATCTAACGATTTAGATGCCAAGATTTTATCAGTGATCAGAACAAAAAAACGGTCGAATTTTATTTGCCTGTCGCGTTTTAATACTCATCTTAACATGTAGACAAAGAAAGGGCATGCTGTTACTTGTTGGTGATCTAAAAACACATTAAAAAGGCGAACCAATGCCCTTTTTTAAAAAAATATATTAATAATTCTTTATGTACTAAAAAAAAGAATTTGAATATGTTTTTTACATATACAATAAACAACGAGTGGAGTGTGGGGTAGTGGAGTATACTGAAATAATTATTCTCACAAAAGCTTTTATTAAGTAATCTAGAAATGCAGTTCGACGTGAAGGAAAACTGTCGATCTTTTATACAATAAATAATAGCCTCAAATAGGGATAAACCTATTTATCTATCACCATTCCTCTTTAACATTATTTTGAAGAGCATCGTACGAAAAAGAAACACAGAAACTGTTCTCTTTATAAATCAATGTCCTCGAAATATACCAGCTTTAGCTGATGATATGTACATTGTGGGAAATACAACTAGTGTCAAGGAAGAGTTCATTAAATTGAAAAATGTCGCACAAGAAATTGACTTCCGAATCAACAAAGATATCACAAAATATATGGCTATAATAAGACAATGAACCAGTGTAACTTTGTAAGGGTTCATTCGTTTAAATATTTGGGAGCTACGATCACTTTTGGCAATAAAGTTACACAAGAGGTTAACATCAGAATATAATGTTTTTGCACTAAAAAATAAGACCTACAATAATGTATGCATGTGAACATGAACACGGACGTAAATAAATCAAAATCCGATTGAGAATCGCAGAAAGAAGAATTCTTAGAGGAACATATGGACCGGTTAAGAATGACACAAAGTGAAAAGTAATCGACAATTGGAAGAATTATATAACGAACCAGATATATACAGTAAAAATATTAGGAATAAGAGGCTGGCCATATCAACAAACAATATCAGCGTGTTGTAAAGCTAGTCTAGGGAGCCTAAAGAAACCGTGAACAGATAAAATTGCAGCAGATTTACGCACTCTAATTATTGAACAAGCAGAGGACCTAATGATGGACCATTGCAAGTGGAGGAAGATTGTTAAGTCAGCAAATACCCTGGGTTCTAGCTCTAGAAATAAGAAGAAGAACAAACAAAGATAAAGCTACTTACTTGTCGTAGGTGTTCGAGATCAACTTTATTCCCTAGAAGCATCGTCGGAATGTGACTTCTCAGATGTAAAACTTTCTGCAGCATATCTGTGGCTTGTGTGAAGGAATTTCTGCAAGTAATGTCGTAAACTACGGCACACGCATCCGCCCAATATATCGCCTCCTCAGGGAAAGCTTGGATGTCACAGCTACATACGTCAACAATCTCTACCTCCAAAGGAGACTTGTTTAAAGTGATGACTTGCCGGTAAAGGAGATCTGCAATAAAAAAGGTCTATTAAATAATTGCGAATGTGACATATCGTGATAATATGAGATGTTCAATATATGCTATTATATAAATTAGAAGTGATGCTCAGAAAAATTTAATTTGCTGTACTATTCAAAGTACTGTTCTAAAAATAGGAAATCTGTTGAATGATTTCGTTTCAAAAATTAATAATATTGGGGTCAAAAAACAGAAACACCAAAAATTAGCATATTTTGATTGGTTGTCTATTTCCGGACTTCGGTTCCATGTCAGTGGTATCACATCATTGACATATCAACTATAAATAGATGTGGGTAAACAAAGTAAATTATGTAGATTTATGCTCATTTTGGTGGTTTGAAAACGCATTATTTGATATATTTCATACTCTAACTCTATACACGCACACATTAACAGGTTAAGTGCCACCATATTGAAAATTTTAATGTCTTTGGCCAATCACTTTTTTTAATTACTTCTATTACTTTCTTTAATTTTTAAATTAAAATTTAACACTCTAAAATGCGAATTTTGGTTAAAATTTAATTTTTCGATTACCTGTTATATATTATTTCAATTAATCGTACATTATTAGCACTAGTACTTGTTTCAACGATTGAATAATGTCCATAGAAACAGTTTTCGTTTATATCGTTCGAAAACGCTTAAATGAACATGTAGTAAGGTCAAGAATATATATCACTCATCAGAAGAGCGGCCTAAGATATGAAGAAGAGCTGGTGAACGTTATCTACAATGTTGTTTTACTCTGACGTCTGACAGTTTAATTTGGTGGAGGTGGTTATAAATAGTGGTGTGGGCAGGCATTTCCCTAGAGGCTCATACAGAACTTGATACAATTCAAGGGGACAATTTGAACGCTCAACGGTATATTCAGCAATATTTGGAAGATCATCTAGTACCATTTGCCCTATTTGTTGTTCTTCTTCTTCTAGTGCCGTCTTCACTAATGAAGGTTGGCGTGGTCTCACATTTGTTGAAGAAAACCTTCGTTTGATGCAAGATAATACTCGTCCGCACATCGCAAAAATAACACGGGGTTATTTGGATAAACTTGGGATTTGTTTATTACCATGGCCCCCAAGGAATGAAGACTTAAATCCAGAAGATCATGCATGGGATATTCTGGGACGACGTATTTGTCTTAACCATGGTAAATTTGAAACTATGAATGATTTGGAGCAAGCAGTTCGTGACGAATGGGAGCAAATCCTTCAAGCAGACTTTGCTGCCTTAGTCCGAAGTATTTCTGATCGAATCGGAGCTCTAGTTGGGGTTCGTGGGGGTAATACACTCTACTAGTTATCGTTTTCCATAAAAAAAGGTTTATATTTAAAAAAAAAAATTGTTTTCTTCGTAAATTTTCAAATTTTTTGTTTTACTTTATTGTTTTTTCTATGTAACATTCTTGAGTTGTAATAAATTTGAATTTTAAATGTTGTTTATTAGTGAATACTCAATTGGGAACATCCTAAACTTCTTTAAACGCCAGTTTTTAGAAAAAATTTGAGTATCTTGTTAATTTTGCACCCCAGTATATTTCTTAGTGTACAAACTCAAAAATATTTGGCTGTGAGAATTCTCTATCAAAAAGTCTTTATATCTCAAACAAATAAAAATAACAAACCAATGCTATAACCTACATAACCCGCTAATATCTCTCTATTTATCTGTGCGGGATGTTTTGGAAAACGATACACAAAATCTAGGACGGAGTTGTCAGGTGCATCCAGAACTTGCACGTGCCTGGTATTTTAGTTATTATCCATGTTTACTCGATAGAATACCACACTGATGAGTTTCTCGACTTATATAATGTTCTTGTCTCTGTTTAATATGAATAGAACGCTTTGCCAGACATCGCTGTTACATTCAAAGGCGACCACATCGAGAAACGGAAAGATGTGACAGTCACAGGAAGCGGTTGGAGTAGTGTGAGAATGTTTATCGGTGAGAAGGTGTCAGTATTGTTGTATTGACACTTTTATCACATCAGTATTATACTTAGGAATAAATAAAAACAAAAGTGAGTTATATTTTGGGCTAAAGCAATAAGAAATGAGTCTACGTCTACTGATTTTATGCAATTAACAACTACGTAGTGTATAAAAATTAAAAACAATGTGAAAACAGCAGTAAAGCATTGAATATTGTTCAATATTCAGTGGTGAATATAAGTGCTTTCAACATAGTTTTTATGAATTATTTTCTTGGAAACCATTATATTTCTTCACTTTAATTTTTTCTAATGTTCTTTTTGATGCTCTTAATCAAATTATTTCCTTTCAATATAAAAAAGTGGATGCACCTTCAATATTTTGAAGGCCTCCCAACACAACAAATGTTTCATTAGCTACAAATTTTTCTATTTATTTTCTATACAAATTTACCGAGTTTCTGCTATAATCAAATCGATTTTATGTATTTTGCTGAACATTTTTTGCGTTTAATATCACTACAAAAACATTCGGTTAATAAATGGAGGTACACCTGGTTTTTATTGCGCGTATTTAAAAATATATCGATGAATACCTCTCGCAGATTTTGATATTTACTATTTCTGAAGTTATTTCACACTTTCTAAGCCAAGAAATTCATGAATGTAGCGGCGGCTGACGCTTTTCAACGTCAGGTTTAGTTATTTTTATAAAAAGACACATTCTTGGTGATTTTGCTTGCCAAATAATATTCAAAATATGGTGTATAATATTTGCATTTTGTTTTTAATTAGAATAATGACAAAGATTTTATTTACAGATACTAGTTGTCACATATGGACACATATCGAATGAATTTTGTGTGACGATAAGTGCAGATTAGCAGTGGAAGAAAAGAATAAAACAAAATTAAAATTGTTAAGCACGAGCAAAGAAGAGAGGCGAGAAAAATACAAACATTAAAGGCAAAAGACAAAGAAATTATTTTAATCGAAAAAAATCAAAAAGTACAAGAAATTATGAATAAAACAGAAACAGAAAGTAAAAGACACAACTCAAAACCATTGTACCAATACTTAAAACTAGGTAGCCGAAAACGGACAACTAATATAGCTATAGAAGCAGAAAAATGGCAGAAGTATTTCGAAGAAATATATTAAGAAACTGATAGAGAAGAAGAAAGATGAACAATTACGAACACGGTGACAAGGTAAAGAAGATGAAGAAGAAGAATTAACCTATACAGAAGTGAAAGAAGAAAATATGCAAATGTAAACACGGGAAAACAGCAAGGGAAGACGAAATATGTGTAGAATGGTGGGGAGGTCCAATACAGAAAGATTTACGAACTAATACAGAATATATGGAGCAAAGAAATAAGGTCTGAAGAATGTAAGATGGTAATTATAGTGACAATTTTTAAACAATGAGACCATAGATTACATAATATAGATAAAATACCATACAGAACCATAGTAGCAACAGATAAAAAGGCATTAAAGAAAACCTTCCAAGAAATAGAAAACGAAGCCAAATTGAGGGGACTAAAAATAAATGAAAATAAAACAAAATGCATGAAAGTAAGCAAGAAAAGAAAAGAAATAAAAGTGTAGGTATAAAAAGAAGAATTAAAGCAGGAAATACTGCGTTTTATACAAATAAAAAATGTTTAGAAATAAGAAGATATGCCGAAACACAAAAATGAAAATTTACAAAACGACCATAAGAGAAGAAGGGCAATTGAAAGTTTTTGAGAGGAAATTTGGGGTCTGTAATGGAACTGCTTTGTTTGACATTTTCTGTTTTTGAAAAAGTTTTAAAATAATATATGGTTGAATGCTCAAATATATGAATTTTACAAAAAATAAAAGGCAGATATCGAGCATAGATTTTTTAATGAAATCTTGCCCAAATGCTGTCGCTTTCAGAGCATCATTCGTCATAGCCTTTCATCTAAATGCTCCTGAAGATGATCTAACAGCGAAAGTAATTTGGCAAGATTTAATAAAAAACTGTACTGGGTATCTCCATTTTATTTGTAAAGAAAGTATGTTTTAGATCCGACAAGTCTTGAAATGGCGAAGTTCTCGCATTAATGGAACAAATCGAAGAAAGCTTTGAATAAAAACTGTCATAAATTGACATCAGCTAACAATTTTCCTCCTCAGTCCTAATCTCTTTTGGGATGTGGTGACACCATCAGGCCCTTACAGTTTTTTTCACGATTTACCTCCATCCTTCCCTGTCCTGAGCTAGTTGTTCGGCTTAATGTAACCCTTGGTTAATCAATATTTTTGTTTGATCTACCCAACGACTTGGAGATCTTTCCCTAGCAATGTGTCCAGAATACTACAAACATCTCTGTTGTATTTGTTTAAGCAATCTATCCTTTACTTTAATTTTTTACTTCTCTTGTTATTATATAATTAATTTTCTGCCTACTTCCATATTTGTGTTTGGTTTCTCGAAATAGTACCAACAACTTTGCTCAAAACCTAAATATTATCTTTTATTAAGAAATAACAAACATCTCCTAATATTCGGCGCCATTTACGAAAAAGTAAACACCAGTAATAAAACTTTTCAAAAGCTGTTGTTCATCTTAGAAACATTTTTCTCGCGAAAACCTACGGAATTAGCTCAGTTTTATCGGTTCGTGGAAACGAGATGATTTCAGTGGACAAGATTTCGGATTGAAAACATATATTTAAAATATATATCTTTGACAGGTGCATATCTATCTAGAAAACCGGCAATATCCTGTTTACGACACTAAAACAATGGGTAGCGCTGCCAAAAGTAGCCGATTTAAAAAGATTTTATATAAATATTTTGGTTTTGATTAATGGACTGTGTATTGGAAGCGCAGTCTTGTGATATGTGGGCTTTGTTCTAATAATAGTTACGTAATTTTGTTTGAAAACGATCTTTTTCTACAAATATACACATTCTTCTGCATTATTTTGCGATAATATAAAAATATGCAAAAATCACGTTAATATCAAAAATCCTCTACCGTTTTAAATTTTTTTGCTTATCTCACGAAATAA